AGTTGTCTTAAAAATCTATTGCTAATAGAATGTTGATCAACTTTTCAAAAGGTACTGAATTTTGAAAAAAACAAAAAAAAAACAACCATCATATTTAGATAATCCTTTAGTGATCAAGTAATATACCATATATGATAATATAGTCCTTATACTGTTGCATTATAATATAAAGGTGCATGTATCTGGGTAAATTCTTCTGTAAAAAGCCTTGTCTTGATTTAACCATATATACACATGTACATGAAATTGAACTTATAGGATAAAATGAAACTTATACAAACATAAATGATATAAAAAATTTACATACTTTTACTTCTTCATTTGTGGTAAATCCACATGTAGGACAGCGTGTATCTTGCAAGACATCTAATGTACAGAATCTTTTTTAATTAGGGAGCAATTGAGAGTATCAATTATCAGATACAGGCTATAATTCTCCATTTCAATATACAAATAGACAAAATTTCTTTTACCATGGTACATCATCAAGGATGTTGCTCTTTCCTCTCTTGCTCTAGAGAGACTATCATCCGTAATGTTTGTGAGCGGTTCCTTGAGAAAGTATCGATCAGCAAACTGATTTGTATTCAAAAAAAAATTGATTTAGTGATTTGTGTTTTGCATGCATACAATAATGAACTTAAAAACAGATAGACACAAATAAGTTTTATATAGATATAAGAAACTGATAACATACCATTAAGCAATACACTCCGCAGTTGAAAGCATCTCTTTGTCTTGAGTGTTTTAATGTCTGCACAGACCAGTTGTCATCTTCTGCCTCCAACTCTTTATACATTTGCCTCCTTTCCTTGATGTATGAACTGTAGGAGAATAACTTGTATAATATAAATTTTATAACAAACTTCATATATATATATACTTAATTTTTCATAACCATATGAAACATTAGGTCCATGGGCCAGAGTGCTCATCCACATAACTATGGCCTTTTTTTCCTTCTTTCTGAGCAAATTCTTTCTCCTTGATATTTCTATCTTTAACCTGTTCACCTGTTGAAACCTCACATAACTCTGGGGGTCAAAAATATTAATGACTAATCAGGATTTTCTTGTCAAGAGATTTTCAAAGATTTTCCCTATGTATTCCTATGTTATACTTTGATGATTACCCATTATTTAAGGATTATTGTACACTTTCTCAGACAGCAGCTTTCACTTCGGTTCCATATCTTCTGTTTAAGTGGTTATTGAGAAAAAGAATAGAATTGACCTTAACAAATTCTTACTTTCTCTTCATTATATCACCTTTGAAGGTGGCGTGAACCTTTATTTGAACATACTTGAATCCCCTTTACCCAATGATACCCTGTGCCAAGTGTGGCTGAAATTGGGCTAGTAAATCTGGAGGAGAAGATGAAATTGTAAAAAATTTACGACAACAGACAGTTGACATATTTTGAACAGAGAGCCCCACTGATCCATCAGCTCAGGTGAGCTAAAAAACTTGATAGAGATCTTAGGCCATCTTTAATTTCTTTTCTATGTACTCTGACCCACATTCCTCAAGGTGGGTAGGTAGGTAGGTATTCTTCTTTAATATTTCCTAAAATTTTGTCATTCATGTATAAACCACAGACTTAAATTTTTTCATTACAGGCACTTGACAGCTAATCCAATTAATTATTATCTATTTCTATAAAATCTTTTAATCTAGAAGATATCTACCTTCACTTTAAAAACAATACAGAATTTAATGAAAAAAATATGCTTGGGTAGGGGCAATTTTAATGAGTCAGTCAGAGTACATCAAAGACAGAGTTTTTTTTATTGTTGGCCTTACCACCAATTCTTCTTAATTTCATCTAGTTGTGATCTCCCCTCTTGCTTTGGATTAAGAAATGTAAGGATCCTGTTTCCAGAGTCAATAATCTGCATTTAATTAATATTTAATATACATCTTTTAAAACATAACCATCAAGTGGTCTAACAACTTTATCTTGTTAAATTATAATTAAGCCAAAATGTTTGCAACCATACCACAAGTGTCCAATGATAGTTCTGACACACTGCTCCAATAATGGTGGAATACTCCCAAAGTTTCAACTGTAGATCACAACCGTATGCAAAAATGTAACAATTGAAACCATAACATTTTATCTTTGAAGCATTGTATTACAAGCATTTCATTAAAGTTTTTAAGATACTGATGACTGAACAATCTCAGAGGGGTATAATCAAGAACAAAAATCTACAACCTAGATAACATTTTTCATAAATCATGCAGATCCTACCTTGCAATGTATAACAATTTATCATATCATGGTCTTTTTCACAAATGAAATGTGTTTCATCAGAAGGAAAGAAACAAACCTTTTGTCTGCATTTCTGTACTGAAAATTTTCCTTCTACTATACTTCTCATGGTTTGGGAAGGATAAAGTGCGACAAGGTTGCCCTTTTCTATCTCTCTGTGGACAATATATGCCAAATAGGCATCCATAACCTGTAACAATGAGTGTTTAGTGGAGTAAGCACCAAATAGGCCATGTAAATCTCTATTCCTTTGTATTATAGATAACAAAAGTGGAAACCTGTTAATGTTACAGCACTCTGGGTTGTCTTTGTGTTAACAGAACTGCTAGTGTATCTCACTTGAATAGAATATGGGAACCCCATTTAAGAAGCCTTTAAAAGACATAAATACAGACCTGATCAGTCACCCATCTAGTACCATACAGAGATCGTATGTCAGTGTCTGTTACATTGAAGTCATCAACTTTCCCCACAACATATCCTGTACCTCTTTCCAAACTCCAAAGTTTCTTCACTTCTTGCAAAGCTGCAATCAGATACATGTACTATAAACCACATTCAAGAAGAACTGATATAGACTGATTGATTGACTATAATTGTTTATCGCTCAGTCGGCAATATTTCAGCCATATTTCGGCGGAAACTGATATAGATAAATCTGCATAAAAAGGGAGAAATTTAAATTATCCTGGAAGACTTCAGACTTGAATAATATGGATATAGAGAAGGTTGGTTATACAGAATACCCCAATGTACATTTTGAAGGTGGCCTTGACTTCTTCATAACTTTATTGAATTGTCTATGTCTGAAAATTTCCTCTTTTTTTATAACAAAATGACACATGTATTCCTTGCATACCTTGATTACAATCCATTATAATCTTCTGCTGAAGATCTTCATGTTCGTATGAAGAACACAAATCAGAGAAATGAACTCTTTTCTTTGTTGTTGAATTGCTTCTTCTCTTCTTCAGAATACTTCTAACACCTAGTATTGTAATTTAATTAGGATAGTTATCATTGTATTCTTAGCCCTATTAGTCTACTAGGTGGCATTTTAAACCTAGTGCTTTAAATTTCAATATAAATGTTAAAAATGTTGCAGATAAACCTCAAATTCTTTAACATTTATGGAATTTAAAACAAAAGTCTTACCAGTGTCTAACACACATGGATCATTATCTCCTATAGTTATCACTTCCTCTTCAACTTTGCCCTCATCTGTATGTGTAAAACCAACTATAAAACTGACAAGTCAGCAATTACCCCCCAGACTGATATACATATAATGGGGCACCCCATGGGATTAATATATAAATAAACATACTAAGAGTACTGTAAGCCAGGCTCAATTTGAAAAAAAAGAAGCTACTTATACAAATAAGGGCTGCAATAATATTATGTTTGAAGAAGATTGTTCAAGATTTTTCTACTGTTTTCCTATATAACATGTTGATTCCCCATATCAGCCCACCTACTCATGTGGTCATGATTTCAACAAGCTTCACTGTGTGTTTGCAAGCAAATTTCATCTTCTCAAGACCAGTGGTTCCTGGTAATATGTTTAAATAACCTCACCAATTCTTTAATAGTTTTAATTCTTAAAAACCTTTGGAGGAGGGTGTGGTCCTTCATTTGAACAAACTTGATTTCCCTAACCTAGAGATAATCTGTGCTAATTTTGGTTGAAATTGGACCATTGTTTCTTGAAAAAAGTCAAAAAATTGAAAAAGTTTACAGATGGACATACAACAGTTGATCAGAATAGTTTACTTGTGTTTTCAGCTCAGGTGAGCTAAGAAGAAACTTAAATTATGTCTTTGTTCTTATGACCCCAAAAAGTTAAGGACAGATTGACAACATAATTTCTGACTACTATACCCCGTATCATGTTGCTTCTGTAGTATAAGCATACATACCATTCTCTCTGTTCAAGAGGTCTTCTACGCCTTTTGATGAATGGCTTCTTAACACATCGGCTGACAACCCATGCCTGCCTGTCCCTTTCTTCCTCTTTGAAAGAGATAACCTTCTGACTTTCTTGGTGGCGATGTGGGTCATACTCTTTTCCTCATCAACAACAAACTCGTTTCTCTCACACAATGTGTCACGAAGTGTCTCTGTGGTGTTGTGAAGGTTGTTACACAACCTTTGCAAGAAATCCTCATCTTTGCAAGTGTACACATAAGATTTTATTAACTCACAAATACTCGAGATATTTGATCTTAGTTTTGAAAGTCTTGATTGTGAAGGCATGCGCAAAGGCTGCACCCCCTTTACAAGAGTCTCAGATTCAGAATCAGATTCACTTGTACCGATATTCTTTCCAACTGGATAAGAACTAAAATTATGAAGAATATCATCATCTAGTGTGATGAAGGGATTATTTCTATAGGCTTCAGGAAGGTGCTCCCACTTCCATGCTGTACATCTAAAAATTGCGCAAAAGTGTTTGCATATAAGGTGATGTTTCCTCCAGTCCTCGCAGGTACAGGAAGGAATGGGAAATTCTTGAGGAGAAAAGTTTACCGTGTACACTTCGGAACTTCCCGGAGCCTGGCTATGTACAAGGAAATTACCTTCCCCTATCTCGTCTATATCATCCACTGAGATATTTACCGAGTCTTCCCAACGTTTAAAACAGTGTTTAACAACACTTCCTGGTCTGTTTCTGAGAAAAGTGGGGATGTCCTTATCATAGGCTCTGGCTTCTTCAGACGAACTCAAGTTTTGTCTTACATATCTAAATTGAACAAATGCAATCAACACATGAACACTAAAAATAATGGCATGCTCTCCATAGGAATTGAACTGGAAAACTGACTAGTCAGCAAGGGCCCTGCTGAGGGGTAGAAATATAAGGGTGCAGCTTACAGAGAGAAAATTTAAATTGATTACAAAAATTTAAAAATATATGAAGAAGAATATGCAATAACAACTGTATTTATAAAATTTGAAGATAATTCCTAAATATCCAACAACCTGTAAAGAGTACCCCTGTATTTACATGAGGCAGTAAAAAACATCATATCTATACCCCGGTAATAACTCAATTAAATGTATATTTAAACAAGAATAAAGCATGTGTTTTATAAAATGCCAGCCTTGAGTGAATACAAATATCACCCAGACTTGACCTTAACTTCAAAACAAACATCAGTTGCAGACAAAGGTTAATTTATCTTAAAGTGACAAATAAAGATAAGCCTGGAAAATTTTCTGCCCCACACAAGATAATTAATCCCATGGGATTAATTGTACTGCTCTCTCATCCTTTTCTTCCAAGTTTACAATAAGAACTCTTTCAGTAATGATAGAATGAGTTTACTATTTGGACTACACATTAAAATTAACATTATTCTTGAATTTACACCTACACCCGGGGGTCATGACTTGAATTAACTTTTAGACAAACTATCTGTAGTTCCTTACGTATAAGTGTGGTATGCCTAGGCATGACTTTCATGTTCTTCATCATCACATTTTTTGAAGATTTTTCCTATACATAAACATGCATAAGTTAGATCGACCCAACCCATGGGGGTCATGATTTGATTAAACACTAATCTACACTACCTATGGCTGTTTCAATATTTACATGACTGATTCTGAATTTCTTGTTCTTAAGAGGCCTTCTTGTGATTTTTCTCTATCTAGCCAGATAAAAATGGGAGTGCCCACTGCAGTCCTACTATGCCCCGGGGGGGGGGGGGGGGGGGGTTCATGATTTGAAAAAAATTAAATCTACACCATGTTAGGAAGCTTTTGCAAAAGTTTCATCATTTCTGACCCAGTGGTTCATTAGGAGGAGATTTTTCTATTAAACCCAAGCCATTTTTATACTTTTATCTCCCATTGGAAGAGGGTGTGGCCCTTCATCTGCAGAACATGTAAACTTAAAATTAGGCATTTTTATGAAATACATGTAGGTCAAAATTCTCTTTTTAACATTAATAATGAAAATAATGTTAAGTCCCAAGACTTCCAACCTTTCTAAATACAAAGTCCTAAGCACAATTTTCCAAAGATGTCAAGCTTCAGAATTTTGAACTACAGAATCAAACATACTATAAATAAGGTGATGGCATTTGATATTGAAATATTGTCTACTACTGGATTTAATAACAAGATATCATACATTATGTTAGGAATTAATTAACAGAAATGCATAAAATGTACATCACATAATAAGGTACTGAAGTTAATTGTGCATTTACCTTTGGTATAGATCAGGGAGAAATTCATTCCAGAGAACTGTGAGAAGGTGTGACACAGACTTGGCTTTCTTGGTCTCCAAGAATTCGTACTTGAGGCATTTGTTTTGCCTTTCAACACCATTAGTTGAATTCACCGATGCATTATAACGCATTTGGCGGAAAGCATGTACCCATCGCTAGAGAAAAGAATATTACAAATTGGGAAAGGACTTTTTAATTACCTTGTACATGACTTGACAAAATTATGATACATAATTCTGAAGCCCATCGATACAAAAATAGGGACAGTCGTATTACAATATATTCCAACATGTCTAGTCACAAGTAATGCAAATGTTAGTAGGTCAAACACTTGGCACCAAGTTATGAAGTCTAAAGTCATTGTATATTAAGACAGGTCTAGTGACAGGTATTGTACATGGGAAATATGAAAACTCTTATCTTTTTTCAATCAAAAGTTATGAACTATAAGCAGGCACAAACATTAATACATGTACTTGAAATCTGCCGTAAGCTGATAAAAATCCAGAATAAACTATGTTTAAAAAAACCCAAAGTCTCTGATGAGACTGTAGCTTTACTGGTTTGAACTTATAACAAAGGAAGAGAAAAGTAGCACTTGCTTTTGGAACTTTGCAACACCAATGAATGGAATTATATATCTTAGTGGAGCCTATTTTAATGCCATATCTTATATAAATCAGACCCAAACTGTAGTAGGAGTAGCGTTTTGAAAGTATCTCACCAAAATTGTATGTACTGTATCTTAGTTTAGTCTACTTACGTGCAAAGTTATATTGAAACAAGAGATGGTTGTGAAACACTGATGCCCCCCCTCCCCTTTGGACATACATTATAGGGGCAAAAGCCTTTATTAAGGACAGTATATATTATGGGCATGGAAATGTAATTGACCTTTTGAATTTACAATCAATAGAGGACATCTACTGGTAGTATTTGAGATGCATCAATCAGAAATAGTCTTCTACATCACATCTTCGTGAAAAACATGTTTCTCATGATATATCAGTAATTAATTTGTTCAACCTTCGAAGACATAATGAATGGAAAGCAAATAATTGGAATGTTTCTAAGTCCAATTGGGCATAGCTCTGTCAAAAATTGCTTGATTGTACCCAAAACAAAACTTGGCCTAGATATTCTTAGGATATATCTGTATACCAAACTTCATTTTAGTATGTGCAGCCTCTGTGAAGAATATGAACAGAAATTATTGGTGGACCAACAGATGGCAGCAAAGCAGTATGCCCTCCCTTCTTCAAAGGGGGGCATAATTAGACTCAGCTTGTAGGAGGAGTAGCATTTGGAATGTTTACAGACAGACAGACAGACTACGGACACCTTACTATTGCATATGCTCTTCTGTTCTCTGACCAGTAAAGCTAAAAATGCTATAATCAAGTCTTCTAAATAAGATACTGTAATTATGCTCATAATTTCAAATTGGCTTACTGTTGTAGCATCTCAACTAATCAATATCAAATGTATATTGCAATTAACCTTGTGCTTGTCCAACCATCGATCTGTAAACCATTTCCTTAATCGACTGTTTTCGGTCCATAACCTACTTTCCTACAATATAGATTTGAAATGTTACTATTTACATTAAGTATTTATTCATTATAATTAATTTCTATCTATCAAAAAAAAATGAATAACCTCTAAATTGGCTTTGGCCATTTCAAATTTCTCGACAGTATTAGCATGTGCCATTGACCGAAACAGGCTCAAAATTTCTGCTTTATCTTCTCCAATGTTGTTGTGAGATGCTTTCAACCACCTGTCCCAGGACTGCTCCCGGTGAAAGTCACAAAGATATACGAAAGACTCTGTAACGAGTATGAAAATATGAGTAGTGGTAAACTAAATGTACATTATTTTAAAAATTCAATTTTATCATTTCTTCATAAATAAACCATATCCTAAAAACTTAAGTGCACCTCTAAAGGTTCTTGATATACTAGTACATGTACTTCATAAACTGTATGTACATGATGTACATCTGTTATCATACTCAAAGTCACATCCATCAGGGTATAAATTGAGACTTTTTGTATGGGGTCCTGTACCATTTCAACTGGGAATTTTAAATAAGAAATATGGCAAATACATGTACATCAACATTTCTGAAATATTTAAAGCTATCATTTAAGCTTCACAGTGAAGTTAAAAGTCACTTTTCTTGACAAATTAATTGCAGAACCTGTTTTACAGCCTTTAGGTTATAATGTCCTTTCTATATGCATGAGTAATTGTACTAGCTTTGCCTCAGGTGTCTGATCATTGACCATAAATTTCCCATTATTAAAACACGCCTTAACCTTTTATACATGCTTGAATACTTTACACCAGTTATAATCATTATTATATGTTTTATGTACTGTAAATGCAGTATCATGTATATACCCATCTCTTGAAATTCAATGCTACACTAAATTTGGTTTGCTGGGCTGAAATGTTTGCATACCTGGAAACACAGATTCTAAAGCATTGATTTCTTCATTAGCATAATCGCACATGAAGTAGGTGGGTTTCCATTCCAAATTCCATGCCTTTAAAATAGACAAAGCTTCTTGGATAGAAGGTGTATCTTCAGATTCCACGATAAATGTACCAACAGTCATATAATTGACATTAGTTGGTACACATAGAAAGTACAAGGGCAGGGAATAGCGTGTGGTTCGGTATGTGGCATCTAATAGGCACATCTCATTTCCATAACGTTTCAAAA